CTGCTACAGTCACTGCTACATTTACTGCTACAGTTACTGCTACAGTCACTGCTACAGTTACTGCTACAGTTACTGCTACAGTCACTGCTACAGTCACTGCTAAAGTTACTGCTGCCGGCAACACGGTCACTACACAGTAATATATACTGCCATAATACAAAGCCAGAACTGCTTTTACTCAATGTACCTCAATCGCTTGTTTCAAGCGCGCGATGTGATTTGTGGTGTTGTTTAAACCAGCGTAGTAATAATGTACCGACGCATTCGATATTATATTATATTATATTATATTATATTATATTATATTATATTATATTATATTATATTATATTATATTATATTATATCATATTATATTGTATTATATTATATTACAATGTATTATACTATATTGTATTATATTATGCTATACTATATCATATCACATCATATTATATTATTCGATATTGTATTATATTATATATCATAAATTCATTATTATGTTATTCATTATATACTCTTTAATGCATTTAAAACAACATATGCAACAGATACCATATGTCGGGGGGAGGAAATATATCCCCATTAGGGGGCAAAATAATCCCCCACCTTGAACTGGATGGGCGCGGCGTCCCCCACTGGGGGGGACGACGCTAGTTGCTCGTCCCCGGCTGTGGGGGGCGGGGGGTCCCGGGGGGACCTGAGGGGGTCCATGTCGACCCCCTGGTCGGGGCTGCCCAGCCAGCGGCCTCTCCCCAGCAGGGGGGAGCTGGGGTACAAATAAATCTATTTATAATTGAAATAAAAAATATAAAAAATAATACAATCAATTATATTAATTAAGATGATACATTCGATTAAGTTAATGAAATTATACAATCAATTAAATTAAATAAAATAATACAATCAATTAAAATAAAAGCAAAATTAATTATAGGTGACGTGAAATGATTAATTATTTCATTAGGTAAAAATAATTTCTAGTTAATTGACTATTTGAAATTCAAGACTAGGATTTTCTCAATAATTTTTTAATAATCTGTACGCAATTTTTTGACGCCAATATTAATCATATTGAATTAATGAAGATACTCGCGAGAAATTATATCATTAATTTCATAAATCATGATTTAGAATCGATGCATTATTATTATGAGTCCTGCCATCATTATGTGACAGGATTATCATTATCATTGTTATTATCATTATTATATATTATTATATTATCATTATTATATATTATTATATTATCATANCCTATAATGATGCACCTACCATTAGGCCTATAATGACGCGCCTACCATTAGGCCTATAATGATGCCCCTACCATTAGGCCTATAATGATGCACCTCATTAGGCATATAATGATAGGCCTGCCATTGTAAGCATTTACTCACAAGTCCTCACAAGGTACGACAGCTGACGCATGTTACTCACGGCCGTGAGGACGGCTGAGGCGAGGAGTTCCTCATATTCTTGTGAGGGGAAGTCGCTTGTTGCCTGCGCCTCCCCTTTGCTGTGGGCGCCTGCTTTCCCCTCACGCTGGGGGATCAAAATAATAAAGGGGATATATTCACGCTCCCCTCAATTAGTTTGGCATCAGTACAATCCTGAATTAATTCAGCATTGATACACTCCTGAATTAGTTCAGCATTGATACACTCCTGAACTATAGTTCAGCGTTGATACACTCCCGAATCAGCCACACCTCTAACAAAATTTAGATGCGGGCCCGACTCTGCATTAGGTGCCGCCCAGGACTCGGGGAGAAGGTAAATCAGCCGCTCATGTCCGCTCCGGTCTTGGTGTGTACAAGTGTGTACTCATACTCAGAGTACACACTTGTTTTACTTGTAGAACATATTTATCATCCTCTTAAGCAACTATAAAGTTGGAAATGAGATTCTGACCAGAAGATTATTTCTATCGGGTGGCCAAGCAGACCCAGAATGACCTTAGCACGTTGACTCCGATTGCTTCATCTTGTACTATTATTTCATTTTTTGTACTTTTTTTAAGCAGGGTTGCCAGACGATCATTTTTTCCGGACAAATTCCGTGATTTAGTTTTTCTCAATTGCGTTGGCCGGCTAAAATTTATAATAGGAGTACTTCCTAATTAAATTTTAAATACTGCAAAAAGAAAATAAATGGAATTTTTATAGCGGAACCTACAAATAAACTAGTATACATTGAGTTATCGGCCTTTTTTGGCCTTTTTTGTCCTCGGATTTGGCCGATTTAGGCAACCTGAATTATGTACCACTACGTCCTGGAGAAATACATTTCGTGGTACGCATATGTACCACTTCGTAGTCAACGTGTTAAGTCGAGTGTAGCGACTCCTAGACAGAAGCCTAGGTGATGCCCAACTTTTGTTAGGGTCGAACGCTAAAATGATGGTGGACATGATTATGGTGATGGCATTGGTGGTGTTTACGGTGATGATGGTACTGGTGATGATGGTACCTGCAGAGCGGCGGGGGCCATGCTAACGATGCTGATAATGATGGTGATAATGGTGATGGTGTTGGTGATGATGGTACCTGTTGGGCAGTGAGCCATGCTGACGATGCTGAGGAAAATGATGGTGATGGTGGTTATGGTGGTATAGATGATGATGATGATGGTATCTGCACTGCAGTGGGGGCCATGCTAACGATGCGGAGAATGATAAGGATAAGGATGGTAATGGTGGTGATAATGATGATGATGATGATATCAGTACCTGCACTGCGGTGGAGGTCATGCTGACAATGCTGAGAATGATAAGGGTAATGGTGATGATGATGATGATGATGATGATGATGTGAGTACCTGTACTGCAGTAGGAGCCATGCTGACGATGCTGAGAATGATGAGGGTAATGGTGATAATGATAATGATAATGATAATGATGATGATAATGATGATGATGATGATGATGATGATGATGTGAGTACCTGGACTGCAGTAGGAGCCATGCTGACGATGCTGGTGACGAGGGCGCGCAGTTGGCAGTGCCGCGTCAGGGGAAGCAAATTAAGGCAAGTATTCAACAGTTATGGTAGCAAATTAAGGCAAGTATTCAACCGTTATGGCAGCAAATTAAGGCAAGTATTCAACAGTCATGTATTCAACATTCAACTCACTGCGCAGGGCTGCGCGCAGCGATGCTGTGAAGGCGCTGATGCTCCGCGCGAGCTGCGCGTGTAGCGCCCGCGCCTCTGCCGCGCATGAAATGTATTTATTGTTTATGAATTATCATTTATAAATTAATACACAATTTTCTTCATTCTTATTTCATATCTGTGTGGACATCGTGATATTTACATGTTGAATTTTCCGACAGGTATCGTATATTTTTTATGATACCTAGTTATTTGGTGCTATCATAGTCGATATGTCATTCCTACTACTATATACGTACATATATTATATATATAGTTACTATCCCTACCAGGAAGGTGTAGGAAGAGGGGCGGGGGTGCAGGGGTGAGGGGGGGCAGCGGCCCCAGCAGCGCTAGGATCAAAGCTTCGGTGTGACGGCGGACCTCGCACTCTGGGGGGGGCAATGATTATAATAATATGATAATAATTATAATAATAGAAATAATAGTAATAATAATGGAAATAATCATAATAATAATAACTATATAACTATTTTATTAATAATGATAAAATAGCATTAATAACAATAAAATACTAACAATGATAATGAGAAGAATGGCATCAAAAACATCAACAATAACAATAGCAGCAGCAAAAAAATACATGAAGATGAAACCATAAACAAGCATTGGCAGCAATAACAACCTGTAATAAGAGTAAGCAATAACAAGCAGCAATAATAGTGGCACAGCAATAACAGCAGCAACAACGGCAATAATGAAGGCAGTAGCAACACAATTAAGAATAAGAGCAGAATCACTAGCACAATCAGTATATAAAACACCTACAACATCAACAGCAGTAATAGAGCCAACAGCATAAACGAAGAAAATAACAGCACCGAAACGACCAATGCTAGTAGCAATAACGATAATAATAGCAATAACAGCAACAACTACAACACCAATATTACCAGCAGCAACAATAGCAGAGAAGACAACAATAGCAGCAACAACAACAATGCGTACAAGATTAGCGTTAATTTCCCCTCCCCTTCACCCCCTCCGCTTCAATTAACCTCATTGCAACCCCTGCAAATAATTCACCCCCTCCCGCCCCCGTCTCATCCCCCTCAACTGTTTCAACGAGAGAGAGGAATGGGTGAACCCCTTCCCCCACCCCCTTCTGGTCTCCCCTTAACATTTTCAAATCTTTTTCCAGGGCGACTAATACTTTTCGACCTTTTCTCAGCCCCGTCACACACTTTCCAATCATTCCCCGACCTCTTTCCACTCCCCCCAGCACATAACCCCATCCCTCTAGCCAGCAAGGAATTATTGAATAAATAATTAGATGTAACGAGAATATATAAGCATTTCATGCAATAAATTCCACTTACAACAAGAATAGATGAATATCCTATGGTATGAATTCTAATTTTAACGCGAATATACACAAATTCTATTTACGAATATTATTTTATCGAGAAAAACGAATATTCTATACCAAGAATTCTATGCGATTTCCTCTACAAATGTTATCAATTTCTTTCATAAAATAATATACGTTTAAAAATTACTTTTTAAAGACAACACTTCTAAAGAATCCAGTGTCTCCAATGTTGAAGATGTACAATGAATTTCTCATTTTATCTTCGAATATTAAAAAATTAATTTTCATTTTTTTAAAATTATAAATATTTTTTTTTAATTATTTATTCTGTTAATTGATTCATGCATTTCCTCCGATTTCACACAAGTGTGCAAAATTTCAGATCAATTGGACAGGTAAAAGTTTGTCAAATATCAGTTATAAGATTTGTAGCTGACAAAATTATTTTTTCAATTTTTTAATATAGAAAAAAAATTCATTTTTAAAATAATTTATTTTGTCATTTGATTCACTGGATACGCGCCCCAATTCAACCCCTATATATTGCGATGCGAAACTTCAAACACACACACACACACACACACAAACTTCGACGACTATTAATAAGATTAATATTTAGCATATACTGGTCCTCACCAACAGTGGCAGCGACAGCTCCAGCACCTGCAGTGGTTGCAACAGAACCAGCACAAAATGAGCAGTAGTTTGAGCTCTTTGTGCTGCCCCAACACTGCCGGCACAGCACCTGCAGTAACACAACACAAAGATTATTAATCTAAGTGCTGGCATTTTACATCAATGTAAATAGTGATAACAATATGAGAAAAAATTATGAGAACGATGTAAAGAAGAACAATGCGACAAAAAAAAGCTATTTTAGGAAAAAATTGAATCAGAAGAAAGAAAGAAAACGAAAAAAGGTAAAAAATGTGAAATAAAATTCCTCTCAATGTAAAGTACCACTATGAAGGGTTTGAAGTATCACTATGATGGGAATAAAGTATCGTTGTGAATGGTGTAAAATATCAATACGAACAGTGTAAAGTATCACTATGAATGGTATAAAATATCAATACGAAGGGTGTAAAGTATCACTATGAATGGTATAAAATATCAATACGAAGGGTGTAAAGTAATCACGATGAATGGTGTAAAATATCAATACGAACGGTGTAAAGTATCACTATGAATGGTATAAAATATCAATACGAAGGGTGTAAAGAATGGTATAAAATATCAATACGAAGGGTGTAAAGTATCACTATGAATGGTATAAAATATCAATACGAAGGGTGTAAAGTATCACTATGAATGGTGTCAAATATCAATACGAAGGGTGTAAAGTATCACTATGGATGGTGTCAAATATACATCTTGGATTCGTTTTACGCGAATCTATAAATCTGGGGTTGTTGATGCAACACTCAGAAATTTAGTGATACGTTGTCCAAATACCGATGCACTTTTTTCCCTTGTCTGGATCATCCTGAACAAGTTAGACCCGGTAACAAAGTTTATCAGTGCTACTTCCGCTCTCTGCTTGTTTTGTGCTTAAGAAAATGTTTCAAAATTTAGACAATATGTCGCATTCACTTTTCTCAGTGCAAAGAGTAGTTATTAGTGCAGAGAGAAGCTTGAGACGTTTAAGTACACATATAATATTTTAAACATTATTATACATGGGTACATCATGTCATGCATGGGTACGCACCCTGGAGCAGCGGGGGCAGGGGTGCCCTTTGTCCCAGAGCCAGCGAAGGGCGCGGCCACACGAAGGGCACTTCGCTCCTGAAGGGGAAGGAGGTGCAGGGGATTGAGCCTGGTTATTGTTGTTCTTGTTCTTGTTGTCGTTGTTGTTGTTATTTTTAAGGCTATTGTTGTCGCTTTTGTCGCTGCTGCGGTCGTTCCTGTGGAGGAAATATGAACACTTTTCAAAAATAAATAAATTTCCATAACAATAATGATATAATACGTCTCAATCGATATTATTGTTATGGTGATAACAATAATTGTGATCCCACAACACAATAGCGGTGTATCGTCAGCAATACACTGCTATCTCGACAACAAAATTATTATTTTTGACAACAATTCATTGTTTTCCTGGCGACAATATTTTTATCTTGACAACAATATTGTTATCATGGCGACAATATTGTTATCATGACAACGATATTGCTATCTCGACAGCAATATTGTTATCTTGACAACAATATATTGTTATCTCGGCAAGAATACAGTGCTATCTTGACAACATCATTAATATCTCGACATTAATATTGTTATCTCAACAACAATATTGTTATCAGGACGAGAATATTGTTTTCTCGACGATAATATTGTTTTCTCGACAACAATACATTGTTATCTCGACAACAATAGAACGAAACAAATGCGTGCACAATGACTCCATTTCCTAACAAAATTATGCGCTATTGTCTGTCGATGCAATTCACTGTCACTCACACTTGACTCGTTCATCATTCAGCCTCATGCTTCCGCATTACTTAATAATGCTAACAATATTTATTATTATGATATATTATACTATTTATTATTATAATAGAGTAGAAAGCATTCGTTAACATCCATTCCTTTTTATCATCACTCAATGTAGATGGTAGAATATAATTAGCAGAATTAAATTTATACAATGAGATTAATTAATGATAATAATAATTAATGAACAGAATAGAATTTAGGTAATAGAATAAAGTAATACAATAGTACACAGTCAGAAGCAATGCTAGTTTATTCACAGATCGTAATAATAGTTCGATTGTAGACCAGGAAATAGATTTTATCTCGTTCGTTTTTTTTCGGCAATTCAAACGGTGATTTTTGATTTTGCTGGTAAATCGAAAGGCAAGTTTTTAAAAAGTATGAAAATAAATAATCTTTTTTATTAGATAAAAGTAATATATATCTATAACATAGAATATAATATATAATATACACGGGTTAAACAAAATAAGGAAAACACTTAACATTTTGATATCGTAATATTTGTAGATGTTATAAACAATGAAAACGCGACAGATTTGTATGTTTTATTGCTTCTTGCTGATGCGAATCGATATTTTAACCATGCACAGATATTTTTGGTAAATTTTTGTGTCTATAACCAAACCTATAACTTATAAATGGCAAATCTCTCTGACTTTCAAAGGGGCCAAATTATTGGTGCCCGTATATGACAGGTGCTATAGTGTGACAGAAACTTCCCGAATGCTCGGTGTTTCTAGAGGTACTGTCTCAAAAGTAATGACTGCTTCTGAAAGAGAGGAAAAACGTCTTCAGCAAAGCACAGGTCTTGCCAAAAGTCGAAGTTGTCTGAGAGACCGTCGATACGTAAATACAATTCCGAAGTACTATCGAAAGACCACGGCTGTTAAAATTATTGCAAAACTTAATGGCCTACAGAACCCAGTTTCCACAAAGACTGTCCGCTGAGAGCTGCACAGATCTGGATTCTATGGAAGAGCTGCAATTATAAAATCTCTGGTTGCAAGTACAAAAGCTTCAAGGCGTTTAGAGTGGTGTAAAAACCTACATAATTGGCCCTCGAGCAGCGGAAAAATGTGATTTTCCCTGACGAATTATCGTGTACCTTATTTCGAACCTCTGGCCGAGTTTACGTTTGGAGGCAGCCAAATGAGTTATTTAATCCCGACTGCCTCCTCACAACCGTAAAACATGGGGGAGGATCTGTAATGATCTGGGGAGCTATATCTTGGTAATCCGACGGACCAATGATTTCTCTTCATGGAAGAATCAACAGCCGTGACTATTTAATAATTTTGGTGGCCCAAGTTAATTCAAAAATTAAACTAAGCAATCCAAGTTCATCCAATGGTTCAAGTACTATTCCGGTAATAAGGTATAGAACAAGCAGAAGGCACACAACACACGATAACACAGAAGAACACATGATAACCATAAACACAGAGCAACACATGTCTCTTATACACATCT